TGTCAATTTCCTCCTCCGCTTCTCTGATTCCCCTCAGCCATGTGATCCATGCAGCCTTACCAACCAGTCTGGGATCTCTGCCTGTGCCTCTGTGACTGTCTTATGGTTGTTGTATACCATGTTCCTCCAGCTGTTCCCTATTCCTTGCCTGGCCCATCTGTCTTCCAGGTAGGCAGTCTGGGAGGGGATTTTCTAGATGCTGTGTTATCTGATAGGTGTCCTGTGCCCAAGCCCCTGCTACACTAGCTCTGTTCCTATAATGGGGACGCTTACATGTCCATAATGGGTAATAGCAGTGGTCCCAAACCCATCCAGCCTAGCAGGCTGGATGAGGGGGGTGGGGTCAGTCCTCAAGATGGATTAGGTCATTTTGTGGTGTTAGTCTGTGGCCAGATTATGCCCATGGAGTGACGCTGTGCACCAAAAAGGTCATAGACCAATCCTATGCACTAACCTGCTCCAGTGCACAGGGCCACGTCATCTGGCCCACAGGTCTCCCTGGAAGGCATATCAAAGGTAGCTCTATGCCTGGGGCAACTGTGATGCATGGGGCAGCACAGGCTGCTGCTGTGCTAATGGCAATGGCACAGTCACCTGCCACTGTGACGGTTGCTGTTGTTGACCCTGAGATGGATCCTGAGAACCAAGAACAGTTTGAAGAGCCAGTCCCACCAAACTGAATACAACATAAAGATATTTCAATTTTTAATAGCAAATTCACGAACAAAAGGCAGAAAAGATGTAACTAATTAAGCAGTGTAAATAAGGCACAGCAAGCAAATGATTCAAATTTATAAAATGCGTATAATCAATGTTTGAAAGCAAAGTCACCTTAAAATTTCTAAGTCCTAAAGTCTTAAAAAGCCTTTAACAGGTGGCCACCCTGTTAGGGAAAGGACCTTCTTTTAAAACAAAGTCTTTATATAGTGCTACCCAGGTACACTTGCAATTGGGCAATTCAGAAAGAATCATAGAAAATGAAGGCTAGAAGGGACCTCAGGAGGTCATCTAGTCCATCCCCCTGCTCAAATCAGGACGAGCTCCAACTAGATCATCTCAACCAAGGCTTTGTCTAGCCATGTCTTAAAAGCTCCAAGGATGGAGAGTCCACAATTTCTCTGGGTAACCTGTTGCAATGCTTTACTACCCTCCTAATGAGAGTTTTTCCTAATATTGAACCTAAGCTTCCTTTCCTGCAACTTGTTCTGTCATCTGCCACCACTGATCTGGTGGCCACCTATAAGTTTATCAGGGGTGCTCATCAGGATGTGGGGGAACGTCTGTTCACCAGAGCCCCCCAAGGGATGACAAGATCGAATGGTCACAAACTCCACTGTGACCGATTCAGGCTGGACATAAGAAAGAACTTCTTAACTGTCCAAGCCCCCAAGGTTTGGAACAGACTGCCACCTGAGGCAGTTCAAGCACCCACTTTGAACACCTTCAAAACACATTTGGATACTTATCTTGCTGGGATCCTATGATCCCTGCTGACTTCCTGCCCCTGGGGCAGGGGGCTGGACTCGATGATCCTCCTGGGTCCCTTCCAGCCCAAATTTCTATGAAATCTATGAGAACAGTCTAGCTCCATCCTCTTTGGAACCCCCCTTCAGGTAGTTGAAGGCTGCTATCAAATCCTCCCTCTTCTGCAGATTAAATAAAGCCAGTTCCCTCAGTCTGTAAGGAAAGTCTACATCCTTTCTGTAGTGGGGGACCCAAAACTGGACACAATACTCCAGATGTGGCCTCACCAGTGCCATATAGAGGGAAATAATCACTTCCCTTAGTCTGCTGTCAATGTTCCTACTAATGCCAGCCCAGCATTAGCTTTCTTAGCAACAAAGGCACACTGTTGGCTTAATGTCTACTGTAACAACCAGGTCCTTTTCTACAGAGCTGTTGCTTGGCAAGTCAGTCCCCAGCCTGTCCCAGTGCATGGGATTATTCTGTCCTAGATGCAGGACTTTGCACTTGTCCTTATTGAACCTCATGAGATTTCTTTCAGTCCAATCATTCAATATATTGAGGTCTCTCTGAATCCTAGCCCTACTCTCCAGCGTATCTACTACTTCCTGCCAACTTGGTGTTATCTGCAAACTTGCCAAGAGTGCACTCCATCCCATCTTTCAGGTTGTTGATGAAGATATTATACAAAACTGGCCCCAGGACTGAGCCCTGGGGCACTCCACTTGATACCGGCTGCCGACTAGCCATTGAACCATTGATTACTACCTGTTGAGCCTAATAATCCAGCCAGTTTGCTGTCCACTTTATAATCCATTCATCCAACCCATACCTCCTTAGCTTGCTTGCAAGAATGTTGTTGGAGACTGTATCAAAAGTCCTGCTAAAGTCAAGATATATCAAGTCCACTGCTCTCCCTGCATCCATAGAGCCAGTCATCTCATAGAAGGCAATCAGGTTGGTCAGGCATGACTTGCCCTTGGTGAATCCATGCTGACTGTTGCTAATCACCTTCTTCTCTAGGTGCTTAGAAATCGATTCCTTGAGCACCTGCTCCATGATTTTTCCAGGGATTGAGATGAAGCTGATCAGTTCCCTGGATCCTCCTTCTTCCCTTCCTTAAAGATGGGCATTATATTTGCCCTTTTCCAATTGTCTGGGACCTCTCCTGACTACCACAAGTTTTCAAAGATAATGGCCAGCAGCTCTGCAGTCACATTGGGCAACTCCCTCAGCACCTTCAGATGCACTGTGTCCAGCCCCATGGATCCCACTCCCCACAGCCCCTTGCAATCTAGAACCCACCATTTCCCACATTTTTCCAGGACAAATGCTGCCCCAGAGTCATGCAACCCAGGACTGGGACCTGATGTTCCCATTTCTGGACTGTACCACCCAGTTATGGATGGATGGTTACCCTACCCTCTTCCCAAGGGGGGCCAAGGCCCTTGGGCCCCCACATACTCAGCGCCTATGCTGTCGCCTTCCAACAGTCAAAAAGTAGTTTCGACCTGGCCTCGCAGAATCCTCCCATGCTGTCTGTCCGTCTGGCTTGGACCCCTGGCTGCTGCAAATTGTCAGCTCCACTGACCTCAATGAAGACCTGGCAATTTAGAGAAGCTTAAAATGTGGCCTTGAGTTTTTGTTTCAGTGAATACAGTGGCCATTGAAAGAAAGTTGTGGGCTTGTCTGTGGCAGGTAGTTGGGACAAGTCAGTTCCTGGTCATCATAAACTGTCCCTCTGTTTGACAGTGGAGAGGCCAGGCATGCGGCTGACCCTGGAGACTGAAATCCTCTCTCCTTCAGAGAGATGGGACTCTCAAGTTACGGGGCCAAAGGACACAGGCAAAGGGTGCATGAGAGAAGCTATTGCTGTATTGTGCAGACGCCTTGGATCCAGTTAGCTTGGATGTTCTTCTAGCCAATGGGAATTAAGTGTATTTGGCCAGAGAAAGTGTTTGCTCCAGATCAAACTTTACACCCTTCCTTGGGCATCATGAACAAGTGTGGCAGGAACCTGCCAAAGCAGTCGGAAGGATGGAGACATTGTTGTTCCCCTGCGTCTCCACAGAGTGTCACTCTTGGCCTATCCGTGGCTCACCCTGCAGCATGGCTGATTCAGGACGAAAATAACTCCTCCTTCGCAGTACAAGCCCTTCTGTGGCACAGGCAAGAAAGGTCTGGAAAGTCACAAAAGGGTCTTGCTCTTTAAATGTTTCTCTCTTTTTTTTTCTCTCTCTCTCTCTCTACTTCTCTTCCACCCTTTGGCAGTTGTCTGCTACCAATCCGACCGGGATGAGCTTCGACGTCGCGTTATCCAGTGGCTGGAGGCAGAGATCATCCCTGATGGCTGGTTCTCTAAGGGCAGCAACTACAGTGAAGTCCTGGACAAATACTTCAAGGTGAGAAGGCCTTCCCCAGAGGCAGGAGCCTGTGCCTGGGCTGGAGATAGCACTGCGGTCACATTCCACCTGCTTAGTGACTTCAAAGAGTGAGGCACCAGGGAGTCTCAGGTGGTCCTAGAAATATATCATATTTTCTCATGTACCACCTGCCCTCAAATAAGATGCGTGCTTTTTTTTGGAAAGTGGAATGAAGGGAAAAAAAAGGTCTTTTCTTGAAAATGTCAATATACATTTTCATAGGGGAAACACAAGCAGCTGCAGTAGAGGGAGAGTGGCTGTAGGAGGTCACAGGCGCTGCTGGCTGCCCACCTGGCTTGAGAAGAGGGACTGAACAGCTCGACTCCCACATGTTCCCCAGCTGTCCTTGTTTAAGGCATGCACCCAATACATAATATTTGAAGGGAGGGGGTGTGTATGCGGTAAATATGGTAGCGTGAGAGGTGAACAAGGTCTCACCCCAGGCTGTTGGGAGCAGCCAAGAAGCAGCACAAAGCCCAATGTGGCTCCGCTCTGTGAAGTGCTGGTGGCAGGCTGGCAGACATGCCTTATGGATAAAAAGGAGGAGAGGGCAGACCTGGGCAGGGGATGGGTGGGGAAGAGGAAGGAAGAGATGGATCTCTAGGAACTGGGAGCTACTGGGGGAAAGGATAAAAAGGGAGAGGGTGAAAGTTTTGAAAATTCAGAGGCAAGAAACCCAGCAGGGCAGGGCAAGGGGAAGCATGAAGTAGCTAAACCTGGGGGTGGGGGTGGAGACTCTTTTATGAAAAGCAGGAAAGAGAATACAATGGGGGTACTGCTGGCCCTTGGTTGCAGTGTATCCCGGCACCATTGAGCTTAGGTGGGAGGCATGTGGGAGCTTCTGCAGGTCCCCAGCTTTAGGGATGAAGCCCCTGCTGTGGTGTGAGCCTCAGATCCAAGGCCCCCCAGATCAGCAGCCTTATCTATTCAGCCTGGAATGCACAAACCTTTCTTCCCCTCTTCCCACCCCTTGGTAACCAGCTGGTTGTGAGCCCCACCAGCGCTCCTGCCAGGCTCAGCATGCCTCTGCCTTCCCATCATGCCTGATAAAGACTTCAAAGTGCCCAGCCTCAGGGCCGGAGGGGCAGGTGGGGGGTGGGTTTAAATAAGAAGCTGTTGACAGCAAGAGATTAACAATGCCTGACAGGAGTTAGCACTGAAAGCAAATTTGCCATGGCAATGGCCAACCCCCTAGAGAGACCTGAGGAACCAGCACCCCCACTCCCTCTCCCTGAGAGGATCTGAGCCTTTGTAGCCATTAACACTGGTGCCTTTTTCGTGGGGGCCCTCCTATGACCCACTGCCTCGGGCACACCCCCGGGCTCCTGCTGTCACCCCGAATGACGTGGCAACCTGCAGAGCTGTGCATCACAATCCCTTCCCCCACAAGCCTGCTAGCCCCAGCCCCCTCCTCAAAACTCCTCCCTGTGCCACACACTTTGCTGTGTTACCCAAAGCTGGCCACGTGCTCACTGAGCTGACATTGGCACAATAAGGAGCTGCCTCCCACTGCAGGCCTAATGAAAATCTTGGCCTGAAGCACAGTGGCAGGCAAGTTCCCCTGTGCAGGAGGGAACATCTTGCTTCTTCCTCTTTCCCTCTCCACTGATTACAGACACAGGCAGGGGAAATATCCCTGTGACAAAGCCTCTCTTTCCTCAGCAGAGAAGCTGAGCTCTTGCCCCTGATTATTTGTGGTATGTAAAAGCAAACATTCCTGAGGAGCTTAAAAGATTTTGGGGTGAATTTTAATTTCTATGAGGACAGGGCTGGCTTGAGCTGGATACATTGAATGATGAGGCAGAGAAAGTGCAGCTGTTTCCATACAGTTCAACAAATGAAGCTCAGCCCAGACCTCTAGGGCATTTATACATGTACTTTTTCGTCCCACGATGCACCAGAGATCCATCACGTGAGCTGACACACTTTGCTGTACCTTGTGCAGTTGTAAAAGTGGTGAAATGCATGTGAGCGCACAGAAAATGGCAGTGGTGCACTTTAGAAGTAAAGCACCTCCAAGATGTTTTAGTTCAAAAGCGCACCACCACCATGTTCTGCACTGACACACATTTCACTACCTATACCAGTGGTCTCCAAACTTTTTTGATTGCGCACCCCTATCAGTAAAAAATTTTTGAGCACTCACCCCCAATATATGTATATTTATATAAATAGAAGTTCTAATATTTACTTCCCACACCCCAATGGATTGTCTTGCGCACCCCACTTTGGAGACCACTGACCTATACAACTGCATGCAACACAGCACTGGGCGTTGTTCAAAGCACCCAGCACTGTGGCACTTATACACGTAATAAAGCCCTTAGAGTTACTGCTATTCCAGCCCTGAGCTCCCCCGACAGCTCTGCCAGTGCTCCTCACTCCTATCCTCCCACATCTTGAGGCCTTCCCTGATGGCAAAAGCATGCCATTTTGATTGAATTGAAGGGTAGGGACTAGGATGAGAGGAAACAGCCTTCCTCATTACTTTGGGGAGTGGCCAGCCACTGGGCTCAAAACTATTTTCCTACTCAGAGCCAGCCTTGTGCAGCTCAATGGTACACTTTGAGCATGGTCACAAACCAGCAACACCTACATCTTCAAGGGCCTTGTCTCAAAGGCAGTTGTGTCTCTTGTTCAAGTGTTAAGAGACAGTTCCTTTTTACCAGAGTCCTCCAGCACAGGATAAAGCTGTCATCAGCAGGAAAGGCAGTCTTCACTTAACCTGGTTCTGCAGAGAACACTAACCCCTTATTAGAAATGCCAGGGCAACATGTGAGGGTTATGTACTGTTTTTAGTGAGAATAAGGGCTTTCCCTGCCCTAGTACTTTCCAGAGCAATCTGCAGCCTCTGAGCACAAAAATGGGACAAGGAGAAGTGACTTGCCCTCCAGCTAAAATCCTCCAGCATCTATTGTAGGACTCTAGGAATGGGATACAGTTTTCTCATCAGTGTAGTACATCCACCTCTGAGGCAGGACACAGCTGCTACTGAGGAGTGTATCAGTTTGGGACAGGAAATGAAAGATGAAAGTGCAGAAGGAATTTAGGAAGGCAGGAGTGTAATTATTTCTTGTTGGAATTCAACCAGAATATTGGGGCTAAAACTTGTCCAGTTTAGAGCCAGGGATTCCTTAGTTACCAGAAGTGGCTAGGCCAAGAGGCATTCTGTTTTTTTCAGTCACTTGAAAGAAGACTGGCACTAATGTGTTGGGGAAGGTACTTGACAGAATCTCTAACATGAAGCAGAGGCTGACAAAGCACCCTAAGGCACAGCATGCATTTCCCTAGTCAAAAAAGTCCCCCGTTCAGTGTCAGCAGACAGCAACTCTTCCTGTGATGTTTTTCTAGATCACTGGTGTTAGACAAGATTTTGGTTTTATACCTGTCTGAAAGGCAGCATGAGCTGCAACAGAGCACCAGCTAAGACAGGTCAGAAAGTTCACAGAGTCCAATTGAAACCAAAGGGGGAAGTGATATTGTCTTGCTACAGCCATAAATCAAGCCCACTACCCCACCCCAGCTCTACAGCGGTTGGTGTACCACCCCTCTCCAAGCCCCAGGCACTGAATAAGCTCCATAAGCCTCTGCTGCCTTCCAGCAGAGTGGAGGCTTTGAAAATGCGAAGTGCCATGTGGTGCTAAGTACAAGCACATGGCTGTGGGAAAGGGCCAGGAATAGGAAATGCCTTAGCCTCTTTCATATGCTTCCTTGTGTCCCTGCAGAGTTTTGATGATGGTGACTCTCGCCTGGACTCCAGTGAGTTCCTGAAGTTTGTGGAGCAGAATGAAACAGCCATCAACATCACCACATACATGGACCAGGAGACCAACAAGCTACTCAGGTGGGCTGGGGCAATGAGGTAAAAACAGGTGTGATGGGGGAGCTGACTGCTTGTAGCCCATCAAACACCCCAGGGAAGCACTGCTCTACATGGCAAGAGAAGCCAAACAAATCCTTTCTGTTTCTCCAGTACCTTTTATCTGCAGCCCGAGGAAAGAGCCTGGCATCCAAGGGTGGTTGCGGGGGGTGGGCTGTGAATAAACCAGCCTGTGTGCTGTGCGCAGAACTCTTCCACGTCTGAGGCTTCTTGGGAGCTGCGATTTTCTGGTATCTCTGACTGGTTTTGGAACATGCAGTCCAAGCAGGTTGGGCTTTCTGTGTTTTGGTATGTGCTCAGTAAGAAGCATAATGACTGTCAGGGAAGGGCAGGTACTCACTGATGTCCCAGGGATTCAAGGGCTTTCTGCTTTCAGCAGGACACTGTGCACTGGGACACTGAGCACCTTGGTAACTCAGCACTGAATAATGTCCTCAGTATGCCTCACACCTAAAGGGAGTCCTGCAACTGACTGCAGGGGTAGCACTACTCTGGGGATGCACTTATGTGATGATGGGAATCTGTGTTTGCTGGTATGTTCCTCTAGGTACAGGAGTCTGCAGTGTGGGAGCATGCAAGTGTGCATGTGGCTCAGAGAGTAGGAGCATGGACAGACATACATTAACTATGCTTTAAAGTTGGGAGGCAGGGGGAAGTTGCACTTAACAGTCAAGAGCTCATGTGAGCTGATCCAGCGCTTTTCATCTGTCCACTCCTAACCTTCAGTTAGTGAAGCTAAACCACATGAATAACCCTATGAATGCAATGGGGACAATTAATCCCTGAATGAAATGAGAAAATGATGGCAGCTCAACTTCTCTTTCTATAGTTTAAGAGCAGGCAGGGGATCAGTTATTCCAGGTTTGGCTGTATGGTGGCAAATCCTCCCCCTTTAAAGTGGGGTAAAATTCTGTCTGTCCACAATCCAAGTGAGCCAGCCAGTAGCTTTGTCACAGTGGTAAGAGCCTACGCCAACAACATGGGGCCCTGAAACAGCCACAGGAGGTCTCAAACATGTCTCAGCCCTGCAGTGAACCTGATACTGAAGTAGCGTGGGTGAGGCTGAGCTGAAGATGTCTTTCTCCTTGCCATTTACCAGCAAGGGAGCAGCCTGAGCTCATTTCCCCTTGTCTGCACCTTCTGGAGTCCCAGCACTGAGTGTTCAGGAGGAGCAGGAACCCCCAGCAGGGGCGGGATGCTGAGCCCCAAGCAGATTGTGTCTGTTTGTTTCCATTCAGGGGACTCTGTGTGGATGCCCTCATTGAGCTGTCCGATGAAAATGCTGACTGGAAACTCAGCTTCAATGAGTTCCTCAAGTGCCTCAGCCCATCCTTCAACCCGCCGGAGAAAAGTACGGGCTTTCTCTTTGCACCAGGGGGCAGACAGGGAACAGGAAGGGAGGAGGGGAGAGATTGGCTTTGAGCTGGGCACAGGGGACTAGCACCTAAGAGCTTTGCTACTTCTACTCAGCCAATACACCTCACTCACGGCCCTGCAGCTCCCCCTACTAGTTCGCACATTGGCTTCTCACACAGCTCTGCCAATGCCCCTTTCTCCTCATGTACAGAATCCCCTGCTATTCCAGTCTTGGTGCCTTCTCCCTCTCTAGCAATGTACTCCTAACTGCCTGCAGCACCCCCTACTATTATGGAGAATGTGAGATAAGCTTCAAAGAGTCAGGGCAGGTGAGGAACATTTGTCTGGGAGATCAAGCCAAGTGTTCAGCAGTGAATGAGGAGGAATGTATTTTAAAGATCATTTTGGAGGATCAGATGAGACCAAAGTCCAACCCTGTTCTGCCTTTCAGTTACCAGACACCCTCCCTGACGGACATCCCATAGCCTTTTGGACCCAGCTTAGACTTGCAGTGTTCCTGGAAACTGCTCAGGGTTCTAATGATTAAACATTCTCTAGTGGCTGATTGAATTTTCTCAATCGGCAGTGCTCTCTCCATCACTCAGGTGGTACCCGATTCAAGTCCGAGGTTGGGACGGTTTTAGTGGCAGAGGTCCATGAGGCTGTACTTCTGGAGAGCCATCTGCTGGAACTCTGTGCTGTCCCTTCTAGTGAGACGTTAGTCACACTGATATTATCTGCTATCCTTTTCTGCGCAAGACAGGACTGAATTTCCCAGGCAGGAGAGTTGGTCCTCTAGTTCACTACCCAAATAACAACATTGGGAAAACCCTGAGGTGTTTTTGTGGGCAAAATAAATAATAATTTAAGAAGTGCTTGGATTGTTTCACTGTGGGGGATAATCATAGTTAATCATCAGAAAAGTTTTTGCTCATCTTTGTACAAAGATGCTTCCAGAATTTCAGTTCTGGTATCCGCCTCATCCATCACAGTCCATGCCCTTTCACCTGTGCCTCTTCCAGAATGCGCCCTTGAAGATGAAACCTATGAGGATGGAGCAGAGACCCAAGTGGAGTGTAACAGCTGTGTTTGTGCCTGTGGCAATTGGGTGTGCACTGCCATGACCTGTGATGGTAAGTATGACCTGCTCTAGGCTGGGGAGATGAGAAGGGCTGCTCTCGGATACAGGAAAGTTGTGACCTCTAGCTGTTTGGGTAGCAGTGGGCACCTGTATCTCTTATTTTTGTTCTCAGATCTTCCTAGGACACACTGTGAGAGCTACTTGCTCTCTCTGTCTCCAGCTCCTGCAAAGTTAGAGCTGTGATCCTGATAGGAATGATGAGATCCTTTATGCTAGAACCCTATCATAACATCCTTAGAATAAAAGCTCTAGACAAGGAAGATAACTTGTTGGTGTGAAGCATGGTTGGCCATCCCTCTCTTGTCCCTGGGGTGTTCCCCCTGAATCCAGAATCCAGCTTGGACAGCAGTGCCACAAATTAAGTCCTAACGAATTTCTTCATTGCAGGCTTCTTATCTGGAGGGCAGCCTTCTCTTAGAGGGAGAAGCCAATGGATCCCCTGTGTAAAACTATGAAAGATGCTTTCTCCTCTCTACAACCAGCTGGGTTTGCCCTCCCAGTTCTACTCTGCATTCTTCTTGCCCCCTTCTTTAGTAACTATGGTTTTTACCTGAACATAGCCCCTTTCCTTTTTCAGAGCTTGCCATCTCCTTCTGCAAACTGTCAGCTCTGATCCACAAGGAGATACCAGCCCCTTGACCAGATACAGAGACAGTAAAACAGAGAAAAGTATTCTTATTATTATCAAATGATTTGCAACATTTCTTTGAGAATACAGAATGGAGGCCTCTGAATTAAGCAGCTGTGAGTTTTTGTCCCTTAATTCAGAGGGGACACTGTTTCATCTAGGATGCCATAGACACTACTATCTTATCAGATTGCCTGCCTGGAACAGTAGGTACAGCTACGAGATCATGTGGCAACCAAGTGCTTTTAAGGTTCAGGGAAGCATGCAGTGGGGCAGCAATTATTTTTGCTTCTGCCCCCATCTTAGCTACGATTGGAGGCTCTTGTTGAAGGAGTAAGCAGATCTGAACAGCATTACATCAGCTAGATGCATCTCTTAAGCAGAATTCCTGCTTTCATTAAGCATCAATTATTGCCTTATCCCTGGCCTGAGAGATGCCAGAGGAAGCACATTTTCCACTTTAGTGGACTGCATGCTCTTATCTACAAAAACATTATTTACCCAGCCAAATAAGTTGGGGAAATAGGCAGATTCATCCCTTATACATTTTTTTTTAATTAATTTTGTATTGGAAGAATTGTGTGGATGTACACCTCAGAAAGTAGGACAGATGCCACCCTTTTGCCTTATAGCCCAAAGCACCTTTTATTTCTCCAAAAAAAGCCCCAGCAAGTGTAAAGTTACCTGTGGTCTCAGCCAGGTTGAGCCTATCCTGATTTTCTGCTCTTGTGTTTGTAGGAAAGAATGGGAAAGTGTCTCCTCAGGGGCAGCAGCGCCATGAAGACCTGACTGAGGAGGAGCTGGCCAGATACGTTCACGAGCTGCAGAAGCACCAGGTTAGGAGTGGATAACACTGATGGGGATGGTGCTAGGACGTAGATGCTCCTGGGAGTGCATCTGCAGTCCTGTGGGATAATCGGGAGCCTTCCACCTGCTGGTAGCAGCAGTCGCTGCTAGCACGGAGCTGATGCCAGAGCTGTGAAGCCCGGAGCAGCTGTTTGCAGCCTGCTCCCTGATTGCTTGCTGCAGCTGCCCAGAGCCTGGGCTGGCTACAAACAGCTGCACTGGGCTCCGGAAGCCTGCCATCACCTCTGTGCCGGGAGCAGGGGAGAGACCGGGCTTGCGCTGCCTCAGACCCCTTCCTCACCGTCCGCTCCAACACACAGGTGCACGCACTGGTGCAGAGCTGATGCCAGAGCCTGCAACAGCTGTTTGGAGCCTCCCAGCTGCAGCCATTCCCGGCTCTGGGGAGCTGCTGCCAGCTGGGAGCCTAAGCTGTTCCCAGCAGGCAGCTGGGACACTGCAAGCCCCACTGGGACCAGCCCGGGCTCCAGCAGCTGCCCAGAGCCAAGGTAGCTGTTGACAGCCACAGAGCCTGGGCTGGGGGGCAGGGGCTTTGGGTGGGAAGCAAGGGGCAGCAGGGCTGGGGGGGCACAGGGCATCCTGCCATGTAACCCCCTGCCCTCACTTTGTTTTTCTGGCATACCGGCACTCTGGCACCTCCCAAGGTAGGCATTGTAGTGTTTTTCGGCACGCCAGCCAAAAAGCGTTGCCTGCCCCTGCAGTAGATAGTCTTGTGCAAGTAGGGTATCAAACATACCCCCAAACAACCCTCCCCAAAATCCAGCCT